TTTTTACATGTAGTTTTGGAGAGATTGAAAAACTATGCCTCCGCCAACCACCTGCTCTTTTTGTGTTGAATTTCGACTTTTAATGATTTTGTCTTCAAATTCTAGCACCGTCTTACATGGTCCTACAGAGACCCCCAGGACTAACACAATCCAGCCCAGTACGCGTATCCCAGAACCAGCTGACAACTGGTAATTCACGGGGAACCTGGATCTAGAATTCTCTTGTGACCTGTAGGGAGAGTTCCTTCCCCTGGGAAACCGGGGTTATGACCCCTGAGTAGAGCTTCTCCCTGATGTGTGTTCCCTCCGTCACACCTCTGGGGTTGTGTGTGGATGCCACCGGGGAACCGTGAGCTCCAGGAAGCAGGGACCATACACACTTCAGCTCTGTATCCGCAGGCCCCAGCACCACGCCTGGGATGGGGACCTCATACACATCTCCCGAGAGAAGGCATTTGAGCTAAATGAGGCTTGCAGCTGTATTACATAACCAAAAGGATTCAAAAAATCATTCTTAAAACCAATTCATACTCATGGTAGAAAACTTAGAAAATACAACAACAAAAAAGCATATAGAAAATATTTACCTATAATCTCATCCCCAAAAGAGAACGACTCTTACCCTTTCGGCGTATTTCATTTTCTGGTTCTGCGTGTTTAAACCACACAGTTTGAAGAACACTGTAGACTGTTTTAGCTGTTTTTCCACGTACACGTCTGCGTTTCCCCCTGTATTATTCTTCCTAGCGCTATCTGATAGCTGTTCATTATTTCAGTGTGTGATAAAAGCAATTTCGGCGCAAAGTTAAAGGCATCCCTGAAACAAGGAAGACAGGTGTCCACGGACGCCCGCTGGTTTCCTGGCAGGACACGCCCTACAGTGACTGGAAACAGCACAAGGGGAGTGGGACACGCTCAGAGCGGCGTAAGGGCAAAACCCTTCTTACTAGAATGAGCATCCGGACTCGGCTCCTCGGCTCGTTGCCCGATGCCAGCCCCACAAATTCCAGTAGGTGGCGGAACAGGCCAGCTGGCGGCGGTCCTCCAGCTCCAGGGGCCGCACCGTCACCGCCAGGGGGCCTGAGCTGGAGCCGCTGGCCTCGGGGTGGGGCCCAGTCATTTGCATTTCCAACAAGTCCCAGGTAATCCTGATGCCGGAAGGCGACGCAGGTTGAGAGCTTTCAGCGAGAGGAAGCCCCTGCAGACCCCAAGCGCACTCACCCTCGGGCCCAGGCACCCCGCGTGCGGCTTACTTTGCACCAGTCTTAAGAGCACAGTGAATAACCGACTTCCTGTTCTCCAGACAGAGTCTCGTAGGGGGTGGCAGGAAGGAGAAATGAAAATAATGCTCCGTTTGTTACTCCTACCTCTCCACTGTTTCCTCCACTTTTTCCTTCCTTTCCAGGCGGCCTTCATGAGTGTTTGTTTTTCTGATCCTGCCTCAGAGTTCGAGCGTTGTGCCCTTAAAGCCTGATGATCAAATAGCTCAAGAGTTGCCTTATGCGGCTAAATCTGCTGAACTACCAAACTCAGGTTTGTCTGCTCTCCTAAAACTCTCAGAGGAAAAATCGTCTCTGAACCCAAGGCTTGAGATACAGAAGCACACCAGACCACCTCCTCCCGGGCTCCGCAGGAGCAAAAATAAAACACTAGTAGTATCTGCACTTGGTTGCCTCTTGGGTTTAAACATGGTTAATTCTGGAAGAAAAACTTGGTTCAGGATTGTCCATATTTTCCTCGAAATACTACTGATCACTTGTGATACACCTGCATTAGGAAAATATTAAATTAAAAACACAGCTCTACTTTATATCCAGCACTGATCAGCTCTCTTCAGCAGGTCTGGGTCTTACCAGACCTACTTTAAGAGAGAATGTCTATTTGTGGCCTATCACATTAACCAGTGGGATGTTAATAGTAATTGTTGATAGGTTTGCTTTCAACACATGCCTTGGCTTTAATTATTATTTCTAAGTTAGTTATGCCTAGATTAATGAAATTTTATTTCTGACCTTAATTCATCTCAAATGTTTCCCAAGTAAATATTTGAAAGTATAATAAAAGGGTGAAAGATGCAGACAGAATTCAAATACAATCACACATAAAAAAATCGGTTTCCTGTCTTCATATAAAGACAAAAAATGTCAATTAAAGCAACCTTAAGATGCCCCTTATACCTACTAAATTGGTAAACATAAAGTAACCAACCTTCCCATTAAACTAATTGCTACAAAAATGACTTCATAAAATCCTACAAACTACGTAGGTTACGTCAATATAAAATATAATTATGGCAATACCTTTGTGATGCTTTCCAGTTAACGTAGGAATTAGCAGATACTGTTAAATTCTTTGTCCAACAAGAGTTGATTCCTATGGACAGCATGGTTTATTGTTTATTTTTTAACCAAATACCTCAGTAATTTCTAATGGCTTTGCAGTAATGTGTATCAAATAAGCAGCTCTGGAAAACTGATAAGCATGTTTCAAGTGGTATTAAAAAGCCACACTGGTGGATATATAATAATAAATGTATCTCATAGTTAATTAAAAAAAAAAAAACACTCAAAGCTGATGGTGTGAAACATTGTTATTTAATCCAGCAAGGTGACAACATAAATCCCTTTAACTCATTTGGAAGGCCGTAGGAGAAATATGATGCAAAAGTCATGAAATGTTCCTTCCTTGACACAGAGGAGGTCTCTGGGGAGCCAGAAAGGACCTTTCTTGATTTTGACAGTCCTTAGACGGGTGTTCACTCTAACTGTTCAATGAACTGGGTGCTTTATGCACTCTTCCCCATGACAAAAAATGTTCAGAAAGAACTCTTTGCTTTTACCGATGCGTCTTCTACCGGGAGTTTGTTCTAAGAAAACATGCACAGAGAAGTTCTCTGTAGCATTGTATAGAAGCAAAACTGGAAGCTACCTAATTATAAACCAAAACAGGAATGGGTTATCAAATTATAATAATAAAAGAATACTACAAAGTACTAAGGTAACTGAAAATACTTAAAGCACATTTTTGACAATAAAGTGCAATGATTTGTAATCATATAAATCTATACTTATGTGCCTAAGGATTAGAAAAGACTATTAAAAATTATGATATAGGAGCTCTGGGGAATTTTCTCCATAAATGTCTTACTGTTAGATTATCTTTACCACAATGAGAGCAGAACATGTGGTTCAAATGCAAAGGACAGGAACATCCCGCTGGCAAGGACTACCCATGTCTAATCACCGAATGATCATCAAACATTCCGCCCAAATGTTCTCAGAACAACTTAGATGTTTATAGGCTCTGGCACAACAGGGCAGTCTAAGAGCAAGGGCTGTGTGTCACTGGCCTTTCATTTTGCTTCCATGCACCGATACTCTCAAAAGTTATGTTTCTTCCAGTTAATGTAGCCCCTAAGATGATCCGCGGAGCTTATTAAAATATCTTCCCAAGCACTGAGTCTCATGTAATAATTCAACCTTGTAAACAGTGTTGCTGGGCAGAATTTTGAAAAATGTTATGGATCAAGGGTGAAAGATAATGGCTTGCCAACTGCAAAAGGTACAACGTGATGAACTGCCAACAAGATTGCCCAACTCACTACCCTAGGCAAAAAGGCGGAGTCAGGCTGAGTCAGGGAGGGTGGCCAGCTGAGGCTCTGAAGACAGTGGGAGGTCAGTGGGATCCTAAAGGCTGGCTCTGGGAGCGGGAGAAAGGATCACGGGGGCTTTTCCAGGCGGATGGGAGAAGACCAAAGTGCAAAGTCAGGAAAAGAGCAAGAACTGTTTGGAGAGATGACTGGGACTCAATTATGGATAGGTTAATAAATCTAGGCTAAAAAAAAAAAAAATCTAGGCTAGACACACCCTGCTGGTAATAGAAAGTCAGCCAGGTTGTTTCAACAGGGAAGCCATGTGCTCAAAGGAGTGGTTGGCGAGATGCCCTGGATGCAGAGTGCCAACGGCTTCGGAGGCCCACACAAGGGCAAAGGGGGAGGGAAAGGGGGGGGAATCTAGGATCTGGGTCTGTGGAGGCTAACACTCTGGGCCCCAGCCTCCTCCCCACCACTCACTACTGCTCCAAGCAATCAGCCACTTACCCAGCCTCGATTCACTCCTGTGTAACGGAAGTGACATTCTGCCCAAGGACAGTGCTGCTGGGGATCAAAGGTACAGGACCACGTTTGGTGAACGACAAGGAGTCCTACACTTTCAAGTTAAAAAGAATGAACCAGGGATCTCTGGGTGGCGCAGCGGTTTGGCGCCTGCCTTTGGCTCAGGGCGCGATCCTGGAGACCCGGGATCGAATCCCATATCGGGCTCCCGGTGCATGGAGCCTGCTTCTCCCTCTGCCTGTGTCTCTGCCTCTCTCTCTCTCTCTGTGTGACTATTATAAATGAATAAATTTAAAAAAAAAATTAAAAAATAAAAAATAATAAAAAAATAAAAAGAATGAACCAACTAGGGGATGGGCTGAGTAGCGGAGGAAGACAATCCCAAGATCTGGAAGCTGCATTAATGGTACAACACCCCGCCCCCCCCAATCTACTCATGAAGGTCGCCCAAATTCCTTCCTTGCATTTGACTTTTCAATGTACTGTTTTCCTCTTGGATCTCATTCAAAAACCGCTGCAATGTTGGGGTTACAATCTAGAACATGCAAAAACAGTACATGCACAAGCCACTTCAGATGACACGAGAGGCAGTTTCATTTCTAAAAACATTCTAAATTTATTTTTTTAAATTTATTTATTTATGATAGTCACACACACAGAGAGAGAGAGGCAGAGACACAGGCAGAGGGAGAAGCAGGCTCCACGCACCGGGAGCCCGACGTGGGATTCAATCCCGGGTCTCCAGGATCGCGCCCTGGGCCAAAGGCAGGCGCCAAACCGCTGCGCCACCTAGGGATCCCCTCTAAAAACATTCTAAAACGCAATTGCTCTCGCAAAGATCCATCCGAATTTGTTGGGGAAAGAAGGTGAGAAGTTACTACAAAAGTTATTTTTAAGGAAATGCAGCTTTATTACTTTCAAGTACAAACAATAACTTGGACTTGACTAACCAAATGTTGCCTAATTGAGAACCTGCCTTAATGTATAGATACCGATGATTTACAGTTAGCACAATCACCCGTGGTAGAAGAATGCTTCCGTGATGCATGAAAATACCTTCTCGTCTTAGAGACTTCTTGTCCCACGTTCGCTGCACTATCTGCTTAAGCAATCCCTTCTCCCCCCACCCCACAAGCCCTTCAGATAGAGACTTCACCTCTTTTCCTTAGATCACAACATACATCAAATTAGTGAAACAAGAGTTCATACATATTTTTTTTTTACCACACTGCCATAGATGTTGGTGAGACCAGTCTTTTTCAAACCTGAGCATTCCCATCAAGAGTACTAAACCTAAATTAGTAAAATGTCTGTTCACAATGTGAATACAAGGACACAATATGTGAGCATCAGTCATCTGAATTAATAATTTTCCCGGTTTAAATATGCAAAGACATTTTTATCTGAGCACATTCATGAAGAGTAGTAGTAGCTGGGTTCTTTCAACTGCAATAATCCAGTGGGGTTACACTCCTCAGGACTGTGATACTAAGCAACTACAGCTCCCCGATAGGGAAGACGGGAAACACATTGAAACAACTTGACAGCAAACATTCATCGGCACTGAGCATGAGCATTGAGCGTGATTAGGGAGTGGTGCAAAGACTATCCAGGACTCTGCTGGAGGATTTATTCTGGAAAAAACCCTCACTTTCCTAGAGTAGTCACAAAGGAACCTCTGATGAGACAATGTCAAAGATGGCTAGTGGGCATTTCTATAAAAAATGCTAATTGCTCTTTCCATCATCAGATGCTCTAGCCGGGGACTGCATAATTCTCAAGGGGGTCTTGGTTGTCTTAAAAATACCTTAGCAAGCACCAGCATAACCAGGTAGGAAGTCTGTGTCAAGGGTCCAGACCTAAAGAACTTCCCCACCCCGAAAGGCAAGGGTGACCATGTGCCCTGCCACGGCCTGCATCCTAGAGCAGTGATCTGATTCTGCACACTTCCTGCTGAGAAAGGCACTTGCAGGCCACCTCGGCCTGCAAGAGGCCCAGAGGAGGAGGCCCAGAGACTGGTAGTTATAGCGAAGATTCACCTCTAGGTTCCCAAGAAGCCAGGGCACACAGCTTCAGGGGGCTGGCTGGGTTTGGCCAAAGCAAGGTTGTAAATAAAGCCCTGCTCCACCCTCCTTAGCTACTTCTATTACGTCAAAATGCCTAACCTAACAAACAACTTCTTCTTGTCTAAAATAATACTGTTTCCAAAAATATTTTTCTCCCTAAGATGTTTTATAAATGCAGAGCAGTAATCACTCTCCTGAGAACACACACTAGAATGATTACATAATCCTCACTCATGCTTTACTATGTGTCTGCAATGGCCAGAATGATCTTTTTTTTTTTTTAACTATGAAAAAAGAAGTACAATCCTTAAAATTTAATAGCAATATTCCTCTACCTTCCACTAATGAGAAGCTATCCAAACCTGGGTACCTTTCCTGTGGAACTTTTCAGTCTAGCCTCAACCCTTAAAGTCTTTCTTCCTATCTCTCCGATTGGTCTAAAGGTCAGTTTTGGGCCAGTTTTGACAAATTTGACTTACTACTTCAAGTAATGGGGCTGGAGGAAATTAGCTCCCTTTGGAATGTTACAACCTCCCACCACTCAGCTTTCCCAGACCCCCATCCTCACCCTGGAGCCTGAAGTTGTTTCTGTGCCCCTTACGAGCCTAAGCAGAGAGGAGCCAGCCCTTCACCTCCACCACATATCCTCACTCAAGAAATCCAATGCCCATTAAAAAAGGAAAAAAAAAAAAAAAGATAGAAGTTATCTGCTCATGACTTTATGAATTTTTTGGGAATGAGAATATTCACAAAAAAAAAAAAAAAAAAAAAAAAAAAAAGGGAAGAAAAGGCAATTTCCTCCTGTCTGAGCTAAAGAAGCAGAAGTCAGCGGGTATGGCCCCTGAGCATGGAAGGGGACTACATCACTCAGCTTAGCTATCCCCTAACCACTTCTCTCACTGACCCTCCATTTTTTTAAGGATGTGTTAGCATTTCACTTTTTAAAAAGCTGGCACTTGTATGAATAAACTCAGCATCTATAAAGCAATTAAATAAAATGCCCGGGCGAAACGAAGGCCTCTGTGAGGAGGACTCACTGCAACCACTGCCTCACTGCTGTCAAATCGGCTGCAGGAAGCCACCACCCGGAGGTAACTTCGGTACCCAGTGAAAACTGAAATAGGACGTGCCATACAAGTTCCAGGTTTGTCATTTTCAAAAATACCTTTTCCACAAACAACTATAATGACTTTCCCTGTGAAAATTGCTGGATATATCTGGAAGTGAGGTGGGAGTAGGGATGGTCATCAGATCAGTGACCTCAGGTATCTGTTCAGGTCGGAGGAAGAGGAGGAGGCATCCGCCTTCATCACTGCCCATGTCTCCTGAAGCTCCTGCAAAACAGACTCCAGCTGCAGTTCTGGTTCTATTTCTTGGAAGACCGAGCGGAGCTCACACACACAACTTAGCATGAGATGGACTGGGGACGGAGAAGACAGTACTCTTGCCTAATCCCCTAGGAGTCCCCTACACCTGTCCTGAAAACTGACCACCGATCCCCTAGAGTATTAACTTCATGGCATTCAGAGGTCCCCTGTCAGGCTTGGTGCTCCTGTGGATTCTGGACAGCTGGGTCCCCACCGGGGTTGGATTCCTCCTCAGCTCTGCCAGCAAGCCCTCTGCCCACCTGCGAAGTGGGTATGCTTTATATTCACACCAGCGAGAATGAGTCACTCATACTCCCAGGCAGAGGCTACAACTGGGTTCCAGTTTGTGTGTTCATCTTCAACTACTTTTCTGTTGTGTGCAGATGAAATATGCCCCCTCATTTCCTGTAAATAGCTGAAGTGTCCTGGGGCTAGCTCCCTCTAGTCTCTCCCTAATGTGTGTGACAATTAATGTTCAAATACTCCCATTGCCGATCTCAGAAATACATAACTTCACAAGAATGAGAGGGTGGAGGATACAAACTGGCAGCTCATAGACAAACTTTGTTTAGCTCACTGTATTTTAAACTATCCTCAATTAGCTGTCAACATTTTAAAGATCAGGAGATTTCAAGCAAAAATCTGATTTCCACTTCCTCCTGAAAAAAATCCTAAGACCTGCCACCACTGGGCTCACCTCTACCTAACACTTAGAGCTGAGTAACTGCCCCATTAGATAGGCCTTTCATGATTCAGCACAACCCTGTCCAACACGCTTCAATCATTTATGTCATGTGCATGGCTGCATCTGAGCTTGTGAACCCTAATCTAGGGCAATTCCTCCATTTTAATATGGAGAAAATGAGGGTCCAGGGATAGAAAGTTAATCTGCCTGAAGCCACACATCAGGCTAGAGGCAAAGGAGCAAGAAAAATCAAGTTCAGGTGTCTCTCTTTGTAAGACCGCCCATTCTGCCTAAAGAACCATGATTCCCCTTAGCATTTCATCCACCCGCTAACATTTTTCTAGGTGGAATCTGTTATATTTTCCTCATTCCTTCTTTATCTATCCTTTTCATATATCTGGTTTGCTTATAAATACTAACTTTGTGCCAATGATTTCATTTCTTTTTTTTTTTTTCCCAATGATTTCATTTCAATATTTTCTTCAACTCAAAAGAAATAATGAATTGGGACAAAACTGAATTATCAACTTTTGCCCACATGTCAGCAGACGCAGGACCCAAAGTTTAGAAAACACTTAGCTTAACACCTGACTACACAGACAGGGAAAAAGGGGCCCAGGGAAGTGATAAACCGAGGCTGCAGGGACCCTGGGTAACAGAGCTGGTCCTCAATCTTCAGGCTCTGTGCTCTTTCTACTACATCACATCCCCCTTGTGCACTCACCCAGGCGGCAGGGACCGAGGCTCAGCTCGCTCCATGCAGAAACAAAAACTACAGAAATGCCTTATATCTCAGACATGGCCAACCTTGACTCTGCCAAGTACTAGGGTTTAGACTGTGTTGTGAACAATCAATTTATAGAACTTGCTTTGTCCTGGAAGACAGACCTTCTTTAGAACTGGTATTTGGTGGAGAGTTTATGAATGTCACGGGACTCAGTGGTCTTTGTAACACTGACTGTTATAAAAGCTAAGCCCCATGTGAGAGAAGTTGCTGGAACATCATAGCACCTTTGCTTCAACTTCAAAAGAAAAAAGGCGATGGTAAAAGCTTTAATAATAGACTGATGTGTTTTTATATATAGGCAACCAATGAGCAGGTTAATGAACCATTTAACTTTCTTTACTGAAAACCAATATTCAAGAAAGATGAACCCTCAATGCATCCTCTTATACTGACCAACGTAACTAAGTACAAATGAAGTCAATGGTGTACCCCGTTAGCATGCTGTGCTGTGTGTCAAGAAAACAAGCCCTCCCCCGCCCCGAGCCCTGGCCCCCTGGCAAACACAGATAAATGATTGTGCACTGCGCGACGATACCGTTAGGTGAGAGCTTTGGTTCATGCAGTCGGCTGCCAGAGGTCGCACTGAAACCCCGCAGCCCCGGCACCCACAGTCGGCGGTGGCCAGCGCGTGGCGTCAGCCGTGCTCCTTCCACAACACCAGATGAATACTGTGGTCGGGCATGCTGGTGGCGAAGACCAGGCCCGTGTCATTGTGCCCATCCAGTCCATTGAGCCAGGACGCTTCACCCGCCAGGAAGCTCGAGCCTCTCTTTGATTTCCGGTACTCTGGCAGGGGCCAGCGGCTAATCAGGCTCTCGGTCCGCAAGTCCATGATGTACAGGTAGCGGTTGTCAAACAGCAGGGCAAAGATATCTCCAAAGCCAAGCAAGGCCAAGTTTGCTATCTCAGGAGTCTTGATGACCCTACAAAGACGAGAGTTTCGAAACATGAACCAGAAGGCCGCCTTACTTCTGATTCCGCCACCGCAATCTTTTCTGGAGACATATAAAAACCAATACAAAATCCAAGAAAATGAATGTTTTCAATAAAATGAAACAGACAAAAAGCTGTACTTCCTTGAGGGGAGGGGAAGGAACCCTTCACAATGACATAGTAACACAGGCACGTAAGGAGAAAGGCAGCATATGATGGACATTTAGGAAAGCACAAAATGCCCACCCAGGCTGAAAAGGATCTCACAGATTATCTCATGTAATAATATCTCATTTCCAAAATATGAAAACGGAAGCCTTGCTGGGATATGTACTTTGGCTAAGGATTCACGACTGGTCAGTTACCTGTAAGAACTGGGATGCAGTCACTTTACTACTAGGTAAAAAGATGGATTCATCAAATCCTAAAATGCTGGTCTAGGGGAGCCTCCTAAAGCCCAGAATGAAGACTAGAAACCAAGTGACTTACGTGCTATTCTATTCAGCAGGTAGCAAACTTTCAAAACAGTAGAGGCTGAAGGATGAGAAATAACCAGAAAATAACCCAGAAACAATAATAAATGTGTCAGAAGTTGTGAGAGAGAACTGGGGGCGTGGGAGGATAGCCTTCACCTTCCCCAAAGGCTGATGACAAAAGCACAGAATGGGAGAGATCCAGCCAAACAGCATAGATAAAAAACAAAAACAAAAAAACACAGCCCGTTGTCTGCACACTTAATGAGGCAAGAACAGTTGATGTCCTTTTTGGAGGCACTAGGAAAAGAGCTACAAGAGAAGGATAAACCAATTCTGCTCCGTGACAGTATGTCTGGGCCCCGTGAGAGGTCAATAAACCCACATTTCAACAAGGACACTACCAACTAGTGTGTGTCCAAGAGGTCAACCAGGAAGGGCAGGGCCTGGTAACCAGGACAAATAAGGAACAGGTAAAGGAGATCAGCGGGGGGCGGGGAATCCCAGGGAAAGAGTCACACCAAGGCAGATTCCACCTGACACTGGAAGGCAGAGGATTTAGTCGTGAAGACCTGTTCCACACTCAACCCGTCCTTAACTGAACTTGCTGACCAAACCTGTTTCTCTTCCCTGTTTCCTGGCTTGCTCTTTCACCCAACTGCTCACCGTTAGGAAACACGGCAACCATCCAACTCTCCTCCTTAATCAAGCCGCAGATTCAATCACCACAATCTATTGATTTTACCTCTTGAATTTTCTCCTACTTTTTTTTACTATTATCCAAATTGCCACGGCTCTGATCCAAGATAGTATCTTCAGCCTGCACTGGTCTCCCCCCACCTACTCCTGGCCCCTTTCAATCAGCTAATCTCACCCCCATGTCTAATCCTAATACCACCTCACTCAACTTTAAACCCTCTGAGGGCTCTCTACTGCACTTCACATCTCCAGCACTGGGACCCTTCAGTCTCAGGGCCTTTGAACGGACTGATTTCTCAGCCTCCACTGCTCCTTACTGCACACCCACTGCTGGCATTTAGTTAATGCAGATACTCCTCCTTCAGGGCTTAGCCCACACCTCTTCTTCAAGGAAGCTTTTCCTTACTCAACTGCTAGGTGGGGTCTTCAAATGCTCCACAGTGTGGCCTTTAACCCACCCATGAAAACAACTGTAGGCAATTAGCTATTTAATGTCAGTCTTGCCTCTTGCTGGTTAGTAACTTCCACCAGTGTGGTATTTCTGCAGGTTACCAGCATAGATCCCAGTGCCTAAAACACAGGTATGCCTCATAACTATCTGCTCACAAATACAGCAGTGGAGCAATGAACATGGGAAAATAAGAACTCCTACAAAGCACATCCAAAGGAAACTGGGAAAACAACAAGAAAGTCCGTTAAGTCCCATATCACCAATGCAAGCAGGAAATAACCAGAAACTTAGATAACCGGATGGCTGGAAATAGGACTAAAGCCTGGTGAAGATGAGTCGACTCCAAAGACTGAAGCACAAATATGTTTTGGAGGAGAATACAAGTCTTGACAGGCTGGCCGCCTCTTTAACTTTGATTACTTTAAAACTGTAAACAGACATCCCTGCTGTGCAGTCTGGGCCCCTGAACCTAAATAACCTTGCTTGCTTGCTGTACGAAGATAACTCAGCTCAAGAGATTGCATCATACCTAGATTTATTGAGCAACATGCTACCATCTGTGCTTTGCTTCTTTTTAGTTAGCTTCAAAGCATAAGTAGCCCTATCTGATCTTAGCAACAGAGGCCAAAGGAGTTGCACTAGGATTTCAAAAGAGGCTTTTGTGCTGCGGGAGGTGGGGAGGAGGAAAGATAAAACAGCCCCCTTTCCAAGAGAAATCTGAACCTAACACTTAATAGCAGAAAATAATCATGTAGGTTTATTGCTCAAAGCTAGTGTATCTGAATCCCAAAAATTAACACAACTTTCATCTGGACTCCCTATACACCACTCAGGGTAAGAAAAATACATGAGACAGGTAGATGCAGCATCACATTAAAACTTTTGGAAACTCAGAGTATTAAAAAGATGATGATACCTCTATTCCACCTTACTTCTGCATCCCTCCCATCCAAGTCTTAATTAAAAACAGAAACAATACTAAATTGTAAAAGGTCTGATTTTCCCATGTGACTACTTGGAATTTTTACATAGTATCAAATTCTTTCAAAAGTTCCTTCTCTCTGGTTTGCTGGTACCTTAAGCATAGGCCTGCTGGATGATGCCAGGATGGATGGATGGATGGATGGACGGACTAGGGTGAGCTACGGGATGCTGGGTGAGGCCCATACCTGCTCTTGGCTTCAGTTTCTCCATCTATAAAATGAAAAGCTTAGTCTAATGTTTTCTGGGATCTATTCCAGTCCTTTTTCCTCAAAGCATAATTATCAATCATTTCTAGAAATGATTCTGACCATTTTGAAACCTAACTGGTTAGAATTGTAGGTCTGATTACAGGAAGACTTAAAAGGGGTTATTACTGTATGACCAGAGAGACAGGGCCCACCCAAGTCCTGCTGGCTAGTATGACAGGTGCTCTTCAAGCTGACTTCTAATAGTCATGCATAAAAACAATGGCAAGAACGTTCAATTTTCTGTACTACTCCAAGCCAGCATTTCCTGTCCTGAACCATGCCGCAGAACACTAATCCTGTGAGCTGGTAATAGGTGTTCCTCCAAAAAAAAAAAAAAAAAAGGAGGCTTTCTGTACAATGAGTGTGAGGTACAGAAAGTTAAACAAATTCAAACAGGCTTCTTTATGTAGGGCTTCTGAGAGCTGTTAGTAATAAGATCTGCCGGGTCCTGTGCTTGGACCTCATTACAGGTACTTCATTTGATCTTCACTTTCCAGGTCAGGAAACTAAGGCACAGAAAAGCTAAGAAACTTACATAAAATCATCCAACTCATAGGAGGTGGCGCTGGATTTTAAACCAAGGATTATCACCAAAGTAAATTCTATCTTTTTTTTTAAAGATTTATTTATTTATGAGAGAGAGAGGGGGGGGGCAGAGACACAGGAGGGAGAAGCAGGCCATGCCGGGAGCCCGACGTGGTACTCCATCCCGGGACTCCAGGATCACGCCCTGGGCCAAAGGCAGGCGCTAAACTGCTGAGCCACCCAAGGATCCCCAGTTCTATCTTTTTTTTTTTTTTTAAAGACAGAAAGAGAGCAAGAGAGTGTGCATGCCTGGGGCAGTGTGTAGGGGTGGTGTGGAGAGGCAGAGGCAAAGGGAGAGAGAAAATCTCAAACAGGCCCCACGCACAAGGCAGAGCCCAACACAGGACTCAATCTCACAACCCTGAGATCATGACTTGAGCCAAAATCAAGAGTTGGATGCTGAACCAACTGAGCCACCCAAGTACCCCACCAAAGTAAGTTCTCTCAGTCAACCATATAGCCCTGGCTTCCATCAGCCTCCAACATGCTTACAGATACCATCAGTCTCCAAGAAGGTCTAAGGTATGCAATGAATCACAAAATTGTTTGGCCATGGACCTCTTATTTTCTTTAGAGAAACCCTGCAAGTTGTATTTTTTTTCTAAACACCTCTTTCTACTAGTCAATAGAAAGCCACTTGATCTCTCAATGCAGAATTTTACTACCAGGAAGCAGAACTCAAAATATCAGAACTAGACACATAGATGGCCAATGGACATATGAAAAGATGTACATCATCACTCATCGTCAGGGAAATGCAAATCAAAACTGATGAGAGGCCCCTGGGTGGCTAAGTTGGTTAAGCATCTGCCTTCGGCTCAGGTCATATCTTGGGGTCCTGCAATCAAGTCCTGCACAGGACTCCCCACTCAGCAGGGAGTCTGCTTCTCCCTTGTCCCTCTCTCTGCTCATGCTCTCTCTCTCAAGTAAATAAATAAAATCTAAAACAAACACCACACCATGAGATATCACCTCACACCTGTCAAAGTGGCTAAAATCAAAATGTAAGAAATAACAAGTGTTGGCATGGACATGGAGAAAAAGGAACCCTCTTGCACCGTCAGTGGGAATGCAAACTGGTGCAGCCACTGTAGAAAGCATTATGGAGATTCCTCAAAAAGTTAAAAAGAGAACTACCCTCTAATCCAGTAACTGCACTACTGGGTATTTACCAAAAGAATACAAAACACTAATTCAAAGGGATATGCACACCAATGCTACTGCGGCATTATTAACAATAGCCACGATATGGAAGCAGCCTGAGTGTTCATCAATAGATGAATGGACAAAGATGTGGGGGGAGTGTGTGTGTATATGCATATATATGGGATATATATGGAATATTACTCAGCCATAAAAAAAAATCTTGCCGTTCGTAACAACACGGATGGAGTTAGAGTATAATGCTAGGTGAAATAAGTCAGAGATATGTGATTTCACTCATGTGGAATTTAAGAAACAAATGAACAAAGGGGGAAAAAAAACCAAGAGAAAGAGAGACAAACTAAGAAACAGACTCGTAAGTCTGAAAGATCTCTTCATCCAAGCTCCTCATTTCCCTAAAAAGCATGTTTAATTCTTTTTTTGGGGAGGGGGCAGCAAAGTTTATTGAGAGATAGTAAAAAGCTCCCAAAGAGGTAGGGGACCAAAGGGGGTTGCCCAGCATGTTCGATTCTGAAAGAGGAAGTGACACAGTAAGGGGAGGGATCAGAACTCAGATCTTCTATGCTGTAGTATAAAACTCTAATAATTGCTTCTCAAATATTTTTGTGTGTGATTTTCAGCTTTTAACTGTTTATAACTGATGTAGTAAATATTTCCTAGATATAACCTACTGACTCGTTTATCCAAATATTTAGTCTTGGCTTTTACTACTAAACTGCAATAAAGAAATAAACGGGAACAAACTGTGAAAGGCGAAGGCTCAAGGAAACATTACCTGAGAATATCATAACTGGCAAAGTCCCACTGGTAGAGACCCAGTGCCGAACTACAGACGATGTACTTGCCATCAAAATGAAGCCTTGGCTGCAGGCAGATACTCCTATCCTCAGAGACTGACAATGTCTTTAAACACTTGCAGTTGATTTCTCTCCCAATTGGCCAAATCTACAGATAAAAGAAAATCAGAGATGATGACAAATCTTATCACCATAGAAAAGCTGGTCCTTAAACAATGTGGCTTATGTTTGTCAGAGCCAGATATAAAGTGAAGTAAATCAGAAAGACCACAGGTTTTATAGTTGACAGGCATGGGTTCAAGCTCTAACACTACATGATCTCGGGTAAAATATGTAACCTCTCTGAACCTCAGTTCCTACAACGAAGATGGCTACATGGAACGGTTTAAAAATGCAATCAGAAAGTATATGAGTGCTCTGTAAAGTTTTTGCAAACTGGCTTATTATACAAGTAAATATGTATTATACAAGTAAATATGTTTTCATAGTTTAGATCTAAGAACTAAAGAGGGTATGAGGGGATCCCTGGGTGGCTCAGCGGTTTGGCACCTGCCTTCGGCCCAGGGCGTGATCATGGGGTCCCGGGATCAAGTCCTACATCGGGCTCCCGGTGTGAAGCCTGCTTCTCCCTCTGCCCGTGTCTCTGTTTCTCTCTCTCTCTGTATCTCTCATGAATAGATAAATAAAATCTAAATAGATAGATAGGGTAAGAGATACAGGTCTTAAGATACATTTTTGTGGCTCTTTCTTTCATTTACAAATCAGGGCTAGAAACTGACCCGTATGTAGAAATAACGAATAATTCTCTTCCCAAGGAGTTTAAGATGGCTTATACTATGGGCATTCTTGCTTCCCTTGAAATATTCCCCGTGTAACACCATTTTAATTTTCTTGTATTTGCCAGTTTTTCTTTGATGAGGCAAAGTAATGGAGAAGAAAACCTCACCTTGATCTCATATTTGTCTGCACTTAAGAGTATGTAGTCTCCAGGGCTGTGCAAAAGGGACTTGACTTTACACTTTTGCAAAACCACCTAGAAATATAAGCAATCCATGTTAAAATCCATGTTATAGAAAGATCCTTTTGAAACTATTTCTAGGGCACCTGGGGCGCTCAGTGGTGGGACATCTGTCTTTGGCTCAGGTCACGACCCCAGGGTCCTGGGATCGAGTCCTGCATCGGGTTGCCTACAGGAAGTCTGCTTCTCCCTTTGCCTGTGTCTCTGCCTCTCTGTGTTTCTCATAAATAAATGAATAAAGCCTTAAAAAAAAAAAGCTATTTCTATATTGCTTTTTTAAATTAAAATATGAAGAAGAGCCTGAAGTGAGATGGTATGCTAGAGGAGTTAAGCTGTAACTCTATGACATTAGCCTCTAGGTAGTACAACCAGAGTCTCTATATTGTCAGCAGGATCTGTCTCATGTTGGTAGCAGTTAATTTCCACTTTTGTTTGAAAGCAAACATTAGGAATGATTTTAAAAACTGTAAAACATGACTTTATAGAAAATGTGAGGGATAGGAAAGAAAACAGCCCGTAGACCCAGACGCAGATACAACGATCTGCTTTCCTGAGCATGTTCATTATAAAGGAAAAAACACTGGACTTGGGACAAGAATCTGCCAAATATTGACTCTGCAACCTTCTGATGATGATGTAATAAATAAAAGCACTTGGGATAGTCTATAAACACTTAGGGACTAGTTATTTTTGTAGTAAGTCTGCACAAAGTGAGAGGGAGGCCAGGCACACTTCTTCATTAGTCGGGTTGCAGATTCAACTGAAACTGACAGACCTACTACACGTAGGTACGCCGCTGGCTCCTGTCCCATCATCTCATTCAGAATTCACAGGAACATTTAACATGCAACTCAGGCCCTGAAGAGAGGACTCGTCTAAGACATCACAGTCGGTGTCCTGGCCACAAGGCCAACGTTTTTAACACGTCAGATTTTCTTATGTAACTTTTCCATTTAAATATTCAAATGTGACCCCTACAGAGCTGTGGTAAAACACACCTAACATTAAATGCACTATTCAACCCTTTCAAGCGTACAGTTCAGTGTTATTGTTCTTCTCACAAACTGCTGTCCTTGTAGGTCTGCCTATTCCAGAAAAGCATATTCACCTACCTGACCTAAAACCCAGTGGGTGGCTCTGATTCCTCCTCCTTTGTTCCCCAGGAGTCGATAACTTCAGCTGGCTTTCCCTTAAAGAGATATCCTTCAGGCATGCTCTGCTCTTTCCTCACTGCCACCTGGTTCCAAGCCACAGGTATCTTTTGCTTAGATTACTGCAAAAGCCTACCTGGCCTCCCTAGGTCCATTTGTGCCCAGCTCCAATCCATTTTTCAGTCGCTTTTTAAAAATATAAATCACACAGCTCCTTGCTCAGAACACTCAACTGCTTCCCACTACACATACGACCTCCAAAATCCTTAACACGGCCAAGGAAGGGCCGTATGTATACGGCCACCTGCCTCACACTGCCAACCACAGCGCAGCTCCACTGGCCTCGAGGCCATCAAATGTCCTAGGATCTCTCCTGCCCTAGGGCCTGGGCACATACTGCGCACTCTGAGACACTCCACTACTCTTTACCCAGCTAGCTCCAATTTCTTCTTCCTGTTCTGTCTCTTCTCAAGCAGCTCTCCCTGAAAGAATCAGACACCGTCTAGACTTTCTCACAGAACACTGCACTTTGCCTTCAGAGCACCTACCACCGTTTGTACTTGTACATTTACTTGTGAAATTACTGTTTAATATCTATTTCTCCCACAGAGCTAACATCTGGGTCAAGCCTGGGTCTGTTTTGCTCACGGCTGTATCTTCCACCCCGCACGCACAGAGAGGAAAGAAAAGGGTTTCTGCCGGACACTCCCATAAGTACTATCACATTCAGGTCTCAGAGCCACTTTTTGTTTGTTGAAAAATGACAAAACACCATAATATTCTTTTACAGATCCCATATGTTTTCCTTTGTCTCATTTCTTGCAATTATCATTTTTTCAAGATAAAAATTGCTTTCCTGATTAAAAAAAGAAATATGCTTATTCTAAAGGGGAAAAAGCACCTACAATTTCATAAGTAATAACCAACTTTACCATTTTGGTACATAAACACATTTATTCAGAAACTGCTATTATACTCCACAATGCAGTTTTTTGTCTATGACTTGCTTTATTTGCTCCCTCTACCCACCGAATATATTGTGGGCATCTTTCCACATCCATAAGTCATTCATTGTTAACTATTTACCAAGCGTCTTTTATTTGGCTGGTCACTGTTGCAGGCCATCAGGCACTGTGGGTACACCTGTTGCATCTTATGGCTCCCCTACTACTTACAAGGCAGCACCTAGCATCGTCCACCCAACCCCCAGTTCCCTCACCCCTACAAAGCCTGATGTCAAGATTTCTTCTGGAGGTCTTCCTACCTTGGTGACCCATTCCGTGTGCCCGGTGAGTGTGTTCAGGCACGTCCCAGCAGATAAAGCCCATACTTTCACAGTGAAGTCTGCAGAGCCACTCACCAAGATATCCAGTTCATCATTGTAGTCAACGCTAAACACTAGTATATACAACATACACAAAGTTAAAACATGCTCCTGTGAGGGTCTTGTATAATAGAGTTCAATTACGTGCATTCTCCCTAACTGACCAACTGTATAATTTCTCAAAGGTACTGTAAGAGCGGTGCTACTCAGCTAAAAATTTTATGATAAAAAATATATATCCATTTCAAAATTCTTGTTATTATTATAAGTATGTAACATCCCTGGAATAATATAATCTCTTGTACTTGTGCTAGCTTCAAAGTGAGAGGTAAAACTAGTGCTGGAGATCATGGCATTTCCACTCAGGCCTGCCTGCCTGACACTACACAAAACTAATCCAGCTCATGCAGGGAAAACATAACATGGGTGGCCCTACTCAGATTTGCACTGTTTTATCACAATGAGTCAAAATGTCAAGAATACTACCCATAATCAAGAAAAGCCAGGGTAAGAGAAAAACAGAACTCACACAAGTATCTCAAAGGTCAGACTAAGCCATTCTCTCCAACTATCTGAATGTCTTCACGGGTGTACCTCTAGCACTTAACAGTACCTGAGCACAGCATGTGCTCAAACATTTGTTTTTAAATGTTGCCAAACTCTAAAGGAACACTGGGGACCCAGGGATGAAGACATTGGGCTTTTCCTTAAGGAACTCAGTCTAAGTGAAGGGAGAAGGAGGAGTCCAAAAAAATTAAATGTTTACCTCTTGCTAAGGAAACACCAAGGAGAATGACTAACTCTGCCCAGGGGTATCAGGGAGGACTTCAGGGAAGATGCGATATTGGAGATGGGCCCTGAAGGATGAGTAGAGTTTATCAAGAAAAGAAAGAGCATATTGCAGGTAGAGGGAACAGCAAAGGCACGGAATTAGGAAAAGCCATAGCAATGTCCAGGGAACAGCAGGAGGAAAACTTTTTAGAGCAGAGCTCTTGAAGTTGGTCAGATATAAAATCACCTAGAAGTCCATGTACGTCTTGACATGGAACAGTACACTCAATATGTAAGTACCATGCTAAATCATATACTTTCCAATATTAATGTCTATAACAATTAAGTGGTAACAAATATACTGAGGAAAAATGTGTAAGATGACAAATAAAATGGGGGAAAAATGGTTTTCAGCAGTAAAACATCTAGGTTCACTTGACAGTATTACTGAGGACCAGACACAATACAAGGAACTCAGGACCTAAGGGTGAACAAGACAGGCAGGATCCCTGTCCCGCTGGCATGCATACAGCCAGTGTAGTTATCACATTTATTTGTACAATGAGTGTTATGACAAAATACAGGTTATCGGGAAACCTATAGTAGAGGGGAATCCAAGATGGCTCATAAAACGTGATGCTTAAGATCACAGACTGTGACCCCCTGGGGCTGAGGCAGTGAGTAAGTATGGAAAAGGAAGCAGGGACCTGCTGCACAAGAGGCTCAATGTGATTTCTGTACAAGGCACCAAAATATAATGCAGCAGAGGTAGCAGCTCAGGTCACAAGGCTATATTCAAATAGTCTGCATAGCAGAAAATTATTAGGAAATATTCAAGTATCTGTTCCCTTTATTTTATCTCTAGGCACTGGTTTAGTCAATTGTCAACCAAGCTCCAATTCAATGTGATATGTGTAGATCACACAATCTGAGCACTCCTGTCACTCCAAAGGATTTTCAGCCCTGATTCTACAAATAAAGTAGACTGTGTTTACAAGTGAAGGACTTGCTGAATTTGGAGGTATGGAATCTGACAAAAGCAAAATGGACTGACTCTTCAACAGGGCATAAATGAAACAGGTAAGGAGAACTGCCCGCTCCCAGCATAAGGGTGTACAGAAGAGTTTTGAAATGCTCCAAGGGAAAGTGAAATTCAGGAAAAAATTCCAAATAGGAGTACCTTAAATAAAGGGATGAACTGCTGTGACTAAGAAAAAAGAGGGAGGGCAGCCCAGGTGGCTCAGCAGTTTAGTGCGGCCTTCAGCCCAGGGCGTGATCCTGGGGACCTGGGATGGAGTCCCTCATCGGGCTCCCTGCATGGAGCCTGCCTCTCCCTCTGCCTGTGTCTCTGCCTCTCTCTCTCTGTGTCTCTCAAGAATAAGTAAATAAAATCTTTATTTAAAAAAAGAAAAAAGAGGGAAAGGCAGGTTAAGTTAAAAAAACAAGAATACAAAAAAGGAGTCACATTCTTGGCTCCTGGTTTTAAAGAATGCGATTAAAATAAATGCAGAAACCCTTGAAAAAGGGCAACCCACCCGCCCCTGTGTGCCCCCGGAAGTGCTGGGTCCTGGCTCCGGAACTCCATTCCCAGCAGGCCACAGTGTTGTCAAAGGAGCCTGTCACAAGCTTCTGCTCATCAAATTTCACTGCTGCACAAGTGTGGGTCTGGATGCCATACACGCACTGCCCTGTGCTCACATCCCACAGTTTTGCAGACAAGTCATCTGACCCTTCAAGAGAAAAACAGGGAGGTTAGTAAGAAAACAAACACTAAAGAAGGAAAGTCAATCCCTGAACCATGGTATTCTTCAAGAAGAACTTCATGGTCCCCTCTTACAGCATTCCCACTTCATAGCTGAGAAAAACAAAGCATGGAGAGGGTAACACAACCTATTCAGGGTCACCAAATGGTGTTAACAGCACGGGGACTGAATGCAACCTTTCTGGTTTAGTCCTTTTCCCTTAACTTTGCAGGCTAGAGAAGAGTACTAGACTAAAGCATCCCTTGGTGCTTCCACTTGTAAAATTTCATAATCTTTGATTATCATGAGCTTTCTGATTTGAGCTTGAAATGATGGGTATTTACCTTTGACTGCACGTGTACATTTACCTGCCTATCCATGACCCACCAACCTTGAGCAAATAAAGAATGCTGAATAGTAAAACTGTCTGCTGGAATGTATTCTACACTAAGGTAAGTCAAAGATAAGCCTCAGGTCTTGGATTAACTTCTCCAAAGGCTAATTGCTAATTCCTTGAGCCGTTCCAAAATGTGTAAAGGAACCTCTAAGAAAACCATGGATAAATTACTCCCAGATATTGACAACAACTCAACAATGAGCTTGTAAAGCCGCTTAAGATTCTGCAGAAAGGGATCCCTGGGTGGCGCAGCGGTTTACCGCCTGCCTTTGGCTCAGGGCGCGATCCTGGAGACCCGGGATCGAATCCCACGTCGGGCTCCCGGTGCATGGAGCCTGCTTCTCCCTCTGCCTGTGTCTCTGCCTCTTTCTCTGTGTGTGACTACCATAAATTAAAAAAAAAAAAAAAAAAAAAAAAGATTCTGCAGAAAAAAGTGGGTTTTATTTCTGTGTCTGACAAAAATATTATACTGATTGTGCTGATAATTCAGGATTAGCTTTAATCATGTTTAAAAATCTAAAGATTAAATCAGTCATGCAACTTACCTTTATAATAAAGTATAATAAGAATTGACACAGGTGTATAGAGAATACAAAAAATAAGTCACTATGACAAAGACACAGTACGCAGGAAAGCACCAAATGACCAGTTTGGGAAAAGATGAAATGACTATATGAAGCCGGCCACAATTCTACCTTTAAGAGCTGGTGAAAAGCCACCGTTTCAGACAAATAACTACCACTTACGAAAAGGGCAGAAGATGAATTTCAACCCGGACCAACACTAGAACACACAAATGAAGACTATGTTTGTTGTCACTCTATTTAGAGACTCAGTTTCTTCTTGATAAAACAAGGGATGGGACTTGGTTGGTGATTCTCAATGGTCATATGAGACATCAGAATCATCTGGGGAATGGCACTGGGCTGGCTTGGTAAAGCATGTGACTCTTGATCTTGGGGTTGTGAGTTCAAGCCCTCTGTTAGGTGTAGAGATTTAAAATTAAATCTCTGGAAACAGCTCTGCCCAATAGAAACATAATACAAACTACAGAAGTAATTACACATATAACTGAAAATCGAAAATATAATTTACTATTTACTTTAAAAAGTAAAAAAAAAATATTCTAATCTCAGCTCAATATATCAAAAATATTATAATTTCAACATGTCATTAATATAAAAAATTATTAATGAATTATTTTATATTTTAAGTCTTTAAAATCCATTGAGTATTTCCCATTTCACATCTCAGTTTGGACTAGTCACATCTCAAAGAGTTCAAAAGCCTTATGTTGCCTATGGCTACTATACTGGATGGTATGTCTAGATAATCTGAACTACACACTTAAAAGTAATTATTTAGGTGTTCTAGGAAGTGGCACAATTGGCTCTTCAATCTTGTACTTTACCACAATTTGATAAAAACAAAATAAAGGGAAATGATGCTAATTAAAGTGGTTTATATAGGAAAATATTGTTAAAAATAGTAAAAAAAAAAAAAAAAAAAATTCAGTTTTACACCCTAAAGAAACATCAGAAAACAATTAGGTTGATTTCAGTTCCATTCTATAGTGGTGCTAGTCTACTCTTCACTGCCAGCCTCCAGGGGCCATTAGTTTCCACTCCTGTTTAGCTTTATTTCAACTTTCCCCGTGGACTCCCGTTTGCTGCGCCGACTAGCAGCAGGTCATTAATGATGCAGACCAGAGATGAAAGGAGACTAAATAAATGTAGTCTATTTTTCACTGTATGAAAGAAAAAACAAGACCTCTCAATTCAGGAAAGAGGATGAAAACAAATAAGTATTGACAAGGATGGGTATATAACAAAAAGGTAAGCAGAAAATAGAGTTATAACTTAAATGAAGTAAAGTATAGAATCAAGCAAAGTTTAAATAATTTAACTGGTAGAATCAGATCTCAGGTCTCAGCTGCCTCTCGCAGGCATCTGACTCTGACGACCAAACGAACATTTGCCGCTCCCTTCGATACAGGCAATTTTCAATGTCTTTCTTGAAAGTCTTCGTCATTCTGCGTCTTTACCTCTTACCCTCTAAGTACGCTCTTCAAGTACCCATCCTAAGCTCTGTTCTTCTTCCTTTCCATCTCCTTGTAAAACTTCACTGTTCCAGCCATAGCTGTGGTGTGACTAACCCCTTAACCTTTTGCTCTAGCTCTGTGCTACTCCCCAAAACTCGGATGTTACACTCCCAGACACCTGTGCTAATCTCCACTCATATCCAACTGCATTAAGTTCATCCCAAATTGAACTCCCTCTACCCTATAAAATTCATTCCTTCATTTCCTATTCTTGTTGCTAGTACGACTAACTTCTCAGGTGTGTATATATAGCTAGAAATCTCAGTCATTTTTGAAATCGATCCTTTCCTTGCCACATACTCAATCCATTGCCAAATCCTGTCAATTCCATTTCAATAGCTCCTCTTCCATTTAACTGCTCCTTTAAAAAATCTCTGTCCTAAATCTTGATCTATTTACTTTTACCTAAACTGTAACAGCTTAATACTTTTAGAAACTCTGGATTTGTGTATGTCAGAGGGTCTCAAATAGAATTAGTATCATCTCTTTAGAAATTTGTAGGGGTGATTTCAATTGTCACAATAATCTGGGGACAAGAGGGCATTACTAGCCTCTACTGGGCAAGGCTAGAAACACCAGACATCCTGCAATGCTCGGGGTAGTACACAGAAAGAATGGTCTCGTATCCTGCACGGCCTCTTAAAGATTCTGCTCTATATCCCCAGTGAAGAGCTTATGCTTAGTTGTCTGAGCCTCGGGCCTACTTTACAAAGCATGGAGTTTATTCTAAATTTCCTGAGTGTGAGTACCAGGTAGATTGAGGGAAAATGTACTTTGCTCTGTTGGGAGACTCTGCTAAGAGTTTTTCACCACTTGAGGTTCCATCACTGATGGTACAACATCTGGCATTTGTGTCTGATGTGTTCGTGACAACAGTACACACACAGGTGCCAACATCTGATTACACTTCTGTCTTCTGGCTCCGCTGTGCTTGAGTACATGTTCAATGTGTAGTATTTTAAGTTACTATCTTTTTATTTCTCCTCTGATCAGAGTTTAGGTATTATATTGATTTTCTGAAATATTTGTATATGCAGGTAAGTTATTTCTATGAATTTTACTTCACAGTAAGAGAATATTGTAAAATATGTAATAAAAAGAGGACCTGAGTTTGACAGAAATAAGAAACACTGGTCTACTTGGAACCTGATCCTAGCCCTTTTGCTGCCCTTTCATCGTTTTGTTTTGTTTTGTTTTACGGTACAGTTTTCTCTATTAAGGCTCAGTTAATCATCGTTTTTTTCTTACTGCTTACAGAAAACTGTCCAAACCCACACTCCCAATATGTAAGGTTTTTATAATACACCTCAAGCCAATTCTTCAGCTTATATTCTAAGAATTTCTTGGGACACCTGGGTGGCTCTGGTTGAGCATCTGCCTTCGGCTCAGGGTGTGATCCTGCATCAGGCTCCCCATGGGGAGCCTGCTTCTCCCTCTGCCTGTATCTCTGCCTCCCTCTGTATCTCTCATGAATAAATAAATAAAATCTTAAAAAAAAAAAAAAAAGAAGATTCTAAGACTCTCCTCTAATAGGGTCTCTACTTATATCCTGAGTTCAGCTAAAATGAATTTTCTTTACTTTCCTACGTGCTCCACGCTTAGCCCTTTCCACACCTTTGCTAATGATGACCTTCCTACTGGAAAGCGCTTATTCTCATCTCTCTAAAATCTACCCATTCTCCAAGATTCAACCATCAACACTGCTCAATTTTTGCTAATGGAGGCACCTCTTTTATAGATATTATTTTCTTACTCAACTATAAGCCAAGGTCACAATGATACCTTGCAGACTGAATATGACCCAACCACAATATTTTAAAAATGCAAATAATACTTAAAAATCAGCACACTAAAAAAATAAAAAAAAAAATCAGAATATTGCACAAAAATCTAGATTTGGGACTTCTCTTAACATAAGATCTGACCACTCTGAGCTTAAATCCCACATGACAGTAATTCACTACAGTGCAGCAGCAGCTACACTCTCCAGAAGGGCAGGTGTTCTGGGCAAGTGTTGACTACATGGAGACTTTTACTGAATCAGGTTACCTTCCTGATACCAATGTGTACATTTTCTGAGTAGAGAACTGTTCTAATTTATCCGCGTATGCACTCACATTGTCTTTCACAGAAGTCATTTTATAAACACCTACTGAATGGCACAGAGCAGAACAAGTTCTTCTCTTACCATGTCAGAATTAAGAAGGATAACTACCTAATTCACTATACAATGTTAATTTTTAGCATCAGGCATCAATCTTTTCGGTAATATTATTTTATTGCTTGTTCAAGGGCCTAAAGATGTCACTGTAAGCTTATTGCCAAATTCAGAATTTCGTAATTCAACCACAGAAAAAACACAAGCTCTTCAGTAAGAGCAAGAAACAAATGCATGAATACTTTTGTAGCAAATACTTCTCTCATTGGTTACAGTCACAGGGATGCTGCTACTAGGAAAATTAAACTAATGCTTTGGATTATTTTCAGTAGATAGAGCATAGTTTTCAATATGCAAACCTGATGAATTTAATCAGAATAAAACATACAAAATATAGACCCACCTAGAGAATAACCTTAAAATGCAGGGTTGGGTTCACAGTTATTGCAGATTATTAACTTTCCACGCAGTTAAAGAATTCAGTGTATGTGTCCCATTCACTTCTACTCCAAGTAACTGAAGTTGTACTGCATTTCAAAAGTCAAGTTTAGGGGGAATCCCTGGGTGGCTCAGCGGTTTAGAGCCTGCCTTCGGCCCAGGGCATGACCCCGGGGTCCCGGGATCGAGTCCCGCATCGGGCTCCCTGAGTGGAGCCTGCTTCTCCCTCTGTCTACATCTCTGCCTCTCTCTCTGTGTGAGTGTCTCATGAATAAATAAATAAAATCTTTAAAAAAAAAAAAAACAAAACTAAGTTTAATGAGAATTTTTTTTAAAAAAAGCTCAATGTGGTTCTGAAAATAAGTCAACTGCCAGTATTTACCTAAGTGCAAATGAGCACAAATCTCAAAGGTAATACTTTATCTTAGTCTTTAAAAATTACCTGCCATTGATCCCTAAGACAAAAAGGACACAGAAAAGCCATCGCCCCAACTGGGAAAGTACATTAAACTATAAAAGAATGATGACACTGTTCCAATAATCTGGCCTATAGGACAGGGACTAATGTAAGCATAGAGTAACTTTAGGATGACAAACAAAACCATGAAATGGCTTAAATTTAATGTTTATTTCATAAAATTGGCAAAGTGTCTGGTATTTCAGAGACTATATGACCACATGAGAAAAAATACATATCCTTGAGAAATCATTCTTCTCAAAAATATTAAAATTGAGTCTGTCAGAGCTCTGAAGGAGAAGCAGGTTATTTAAAACTTGCTGTGGCCACGGCACCAAATCAATCTCTCTGAAAAGGACAGTAAGAGGTGCTTTAAAATCATTCCTATTTCTGGATTTGTGATTCTACTTTGAGGCTTCTAAGTAAATAATTTAGGAGAAAAAATGCGAACCAAAATATTCATCAAAACAAAAAATCTGAATATGCATTAGTACTGAATTGGGTAAATAATGATGATATATTTATACAAAGGAATAATACACGCTACTAAAAAAGGCAACTATGTATTTTAGGTAATACTCAAACGTTTATTAGAAATTTTCTTGGGGGCACCTGGTGGCACGGCTGGTTAAGCATCTGACTCTTGGTTTTCGGCTTAGGTTGTGGTCTCAGGGTTGTGAGATCAAACCCTGTGTCGGGCTCCACGCTCAGCATAGACTCTGCTTCAGATTCTCCCTCTCCCTTAACCCCTCTCGCTTGTGCTTCCCCCTCTCATAAATAAATATTAAAAAAAAAAATTATCTTGAAGAAAGAACACCAAGTATCCCTAAATATTATATAGAGTGAAAGTGAATAGGCACTGGGATCATTGATTAGAACTGCCTGGAACCATTCTAGATGTTGCCTAAGAATTACTTACAATGCCTTTCAAAATGTACTGCCTAAAATGTGCACTAAGTAAATGCAGAAACATATACCTATTATAATTAGAATATACGATTATTATGTTTGTTATATAGCTACTTAATTGCTTAGGGTTAAGATATGTCTTTGTTTCTATCCCCAAAGTCTACTAATTCCTCTTAGAACCGCAGGAATTTACAGCAAGAGAAAAATACTTCTCTTCCCATATTTTATAGACAAGGAAACAAACACAGAAAGGTCAAGTAATTTTTCCAAGATGATCTAACTACTTGCTAGGTCTAGACACCAATTTTTCCACTGGTTTTTCTCAAAAAACACTACTGATAGAAAAAAATTTTAACAAACATGAAGAACTGTACACTGAGGGGAAAAACACTGAAAAAAAAATAGTCACAGCTTTCTGATTTACATCACATTTAGAAGAATGCCTGGAGCTTCCTTCTCATAAAGTTTTATAAAAATGATTTGTTTTCTAGAGGGAAAGAGAATAAAGAGAGGTAAAACCACCCAGGAATGGGCGGGGGGTGGGGGTGGGGGGGTGGGCGGAATGCCCCTACAGATATCTCATAATAATTAATACTCCTCAAGCCTAAGGAGTGGTTTGTCCCTATTTCTAAAGTTATACCCTATGAAATGCAAAACAACAGAACAGTTCCAGGGTCTCTTACCTGTACAGAGAAGTCCATCTTTATAGTAAAGTGCATACACTCTGGCACTGTGTCCAATTAATGATGAGGTCTCAAAGGCTTCATGGTCCTCCAGTTGCTTCATTCTCAAAATAGCCTTCAAATAAACCTTCTTCCAGTGCAAAGCGTCCTGAACAGAATCATCTATCTGCCAGCCCAAATTTTTACACGCAGTCTGCCACACCTCTGTACAGGCACTTATCACCTTATTCCACTGTTTAGAGACGAGGCAGCAAGTGAGTAAAGTCTGAGGATCGAGCCATTTTAACAAATAAAAACTGAGCTCCAGGGGAAGGAGTTTGAGGAAGTCCCGCTTGAGGAGAGTCTCCAGGTTATTGGAGAGATGCCTGAGCTGGACTGCCCCACTCAGACTAATCAGGTGATCCAGAGTTTCATTTTTCTGCAAGTCCGTCAGAGAAAGAAATGTAACAGAAATGTTATCAAGCCATGTCTCAAAGTCCTTTCTCTCCATAAGGTTATGGAAAAATTTACCTGTGGCACATCAAAATATTGTATTAGTTCTGCTCAAAAAGACTGTTCAAGCAAGACTGCTAACAAATGAAAATTAGTGTAAAAAATTTGGCATTACAACTTTACAGTTAATACGCTGCATTTGAAAATCTTCCATGCACACAAAGGAATATACATTTGAGAAAACATACTTTAATAAATCATGACCTCTGAAACAAGCCAGTGAGACTTATGTAGGTGTATGTGACTTGCCCCTTTTGAAGTCTAGCACATGCTAACATGCATCTTCACAGTAAAAGATTCACAAAATATCCATTCATTATAAAATACTTTATTACACATAATATACTTCTCCCCATCCCCACCCCATCAAAACCATCATAACACTATTTCCTTAATACATTCTATTTGGGTACTAAAATCACAAAAATAAGCACCAGCAGGGAACAACCAGAAGGCGAGTCTCCTGAGCAGTTAACTGGAAACATTAGTTATCATGCCAGGCACAGCCTGACCTGTTATCAAAATCACAAAACCGGCTACTGGCTTTTCAATAGATGTTCAGGCAAAAACGGTTTGGGGAAGAAAAATAACCAGATGTAATAATAAGTCATATGGCTCAGGTATTCTGGTTTTTCTACTTCTTTTATGGCACTGCCTGTTAGAACATGAATCACCAAACGCCGTACGTGGCCTTACATAGTTTTTATAAGCTTCATGTGAGCTGGTGACAACTCTTAGCCATGTGCCATAGAGAGCAATAAGGGCCAAGGAAGCCTGCGCAAATAAGTCAATTTGGTAATCCTGATGCTTCCAAAAAAACCAGGTAGCATCATCTGCACTTTTGCAGAGGAGGATGTTAAAAGAGCAGGTAAGTGATTTGCCTCTAGTCAACAGAGCGATTAAAGTAGCACCCGAAGGGCCTGGAGGTCAGTGCTCTCACCATTAGTACTCTTCCAACCGCATCAAGCTGTCTCTCTGACGACAGCCATAACCAGGAGAATCACAGCCTGGGCATAAAAATCTGAAGGCACTGTGACTACCTGATTATACCATCTTCTCCTTTAGGAGAATGACAAATCGCTCCCGGACCAAATGGAACAACAACAAAAAAACCTTACAAATATACAGCATTACATACTGTGTCAAGGTGTCAACCCACTTTTAACAAGAGGGACTAATGAAAACAAAACAAAACAAAACCCCAAATCAGTAAAAAACATCTTTCCCAAGGTTGGTTATATGTTGATGGATGTTGGTGCTAGATGATCAATACATGGGGGATTTTTTTTATTCTCTTTATTATCATATGTTTAAACATTTCCATAATTTATTTTTTTTATAAATTAATTTTTATTGGTGTTCAATTTACCAACATTTCCATAATTAAAAAAAAAACTTTCCTTCTAACCACTTAATTTCCCACAGATTATCATACTAAATAAAAAAAAAAAATCCAACTTAATGTGGAAGAGGAAAATAAATTCCTTCCCATATATGTCACCTAGACCAGGTCTACAACAAAAGCCAGATCTCATTTTCCAACTTTGTTCATGTAAGATCAGTTAAAATCATTTTCATTAATTTCCCAATATCAAATTTGGCAGGAATGTCATCAGATATAAAACAGTAAAAGCAACCAAATCTTCCAATTATATCATCTGATAGTTTTGGTTTTGGAACAGCGAATGGACTTTAAAATAATCCTCTGGAATCCTCAGGGCTTGGGCTAGGCAGCATTTATTAGTTTAAGGATTTACACGGCAGCCAAAAAATAATCAGTTCACCAAAAGTTTTATCAACAACACGAGCTAACAAGCCTCCTCCTTCTGAATCCAAGTGACTCTCTATCTGTAACGTTTCTGGACATTTTTTACTTCAAAAAAATCACGCACGGCAAAAGGCAAAGCAATCCTTTTCTGTGGACATTCACAAAATGTCTCAATGGCTAATTAATTAATACTGGCCAATGAAAAACATACACCCAAACATCTGCCCAAGAATCAATGCTTTTTGCACTGAAAACGCGTGGAGGAGGGGAGCCCTCCTCTCTCACAACCTGCACACACACAAGTACCCACACATCCATCACTGAATGCTCTGTAGGCTAAATTACTATTTAAATGACTACAAGGCAAATTCATAATACCCATGAAAACATTATCGGGTTCCCGCCACTGGCAAACACTAAGAAATATCCTACAGAACGTCAAATTGATGTACTCATGACACCACGGAAGATGATGGGACAAACTTTCCAATGAGCACCTTTAAACTGGCAGAGCACCTCTCCGCCGTTTCTGAGGTTCATATATTCTCTTAACCCCTGGTAATTTTCCCCCCACTCTGCGCTATTGAAAAACACCAGTCTTTACTTTTCTTTAAAAAAAAAAAAAAAATCAATCAAAACCACTTTGGAGGGAACTTTCTTAAGGTCACAGGTCTAAAGTGACCCCTTGCAGCAGCCTCTAGGAATGTGTGTTCTGGCAGCCCACAGGGGAAGACTTCAGGAAAAGCGGGATTTCAATTTCACAGGAGCTTTCCACTGATGTGAGAGCTGCGTCCAGAATGGTGTGAGGCTCCCAGTGCTGGGAAAGTCGAGGGCAGAGGCAGAAGTGGGGTAAATGGAAATGCTCCGGAGTCGGTCAAATCTTTTAACTGGTTCAGCCACTTTCTGTGGGACCATGGGCATCTCTGACCAGTTTCCTTTTTTTTTTTTTTTTTTTTAGTTAGGATCTTTAATTTACTTATTCACGGGCGACAGAGAGAGAGACACAGGGAGAAGCAGGCTCCACGCAGGGAGCCCGACGCCGGACTCCATCCCGGGACCGGGACCCGGGACCCTGGGCCGGACCCGGACCCTGGGCCGGAGGCAGACGCCCCCCCACTGAGCCCCCGGGCGGGCGTCCCTGTGACCAGCTTCCGGACTTCAGTTCCGCCTGTGAAGTGGAAGCGACCCCGCCCTGCGGGAGTCGTGGAAGTCAGCACCCGGCAAGGACACCCTCAACACGGCGCCGCCGCCCCCGGCAACTCAGGCGGCACCTCTGTGCGTCTCATCGCTAGGCCGCCGGCCAGGGAAGCGGGGGCGACCCCAGGCTGGGGCGGACCGGACCACTCACACCCCTTCCAATCCTACGATCCTTACCATGGAGCTTCCCTTAAAACGGCTTAAAACACGGGGAGGGAGAACTCAAGGGCTCACCCCACGAGCGAGGGCGGCGATGGGCGAGGGGCCCGAACGTCCCTCGGGGCGCACTGCGTCCTCCCGCCTCCCCTCCTCCCCTCCTCCCTTCCAGGCAGAGCAGCAAACGCGCCCCGCGGCCCGGCACCGGCCTCCGCGAGGCCCCGAGGGCGGCGGCGAGCGGAAGACGCGGGACGGAGGACGCGGGAAGAGGCGTGGGTCCCGCGGGTTCGCCGCCCGGCCCCGACGCCGACTCCCCGCGTCCCTGGGCGGCTCGCCCGCGGCCAGGGGCTCCAGCTCCAGGGCCTGCAGCGCCGCTCACAGACGTGACCTCACCCGGCGGCCAGGCCCTGCCGCCTCGGCCGGGGAGCGCGCGAGCCTGCGGCGGGGGGCGGACGAGCGCCCGGGGACCCGAAGCAGGACCAGGACCGCCCCCGCCCCCGCCCCCGCCCCCCCCGGCTCGGCAGACGCGGGCGCCCGGAGGGAAGGTCGCCGCGCGTGTCCCTCGGCTCCGCCGGCCCGGCCCGGGTGCGCAGGGGCGCCGGGCGGGAGGCCGTCGGGTCGGCGTCGGGACACGCGGGCGCCTGTGTCTCCCGCGCATTCGCGAGGCGCGGCGGCGGCGGCGGCGGCCCCCGCTGCGCCCGAGGCCCGGGGGCGCACGGCTCGTTCTCGGGCCGCCCGCAGCCCCCCGCGCGGCCCCTGCAGCTCGTCGGGTAGGAGCCCGCCCGCCCCGGGCCCCGCGCACAGTCGCGGGCCGCGCAGCACTGACCTGAGCGAGCGCCCCGGGGCCCGGGACCTCGCGCCGGGCTCGCAGCGACGACGCGCGCTCGGGCCGCCGGAGCCTCGCAGCGGCCGGGTCCGCTCCGCAGCCATGGCGCCTGCAGGGAGAGACAGACAACGGCCGGCGGCGCGGCGGGTCAGCGGCGGCGCGGGCCCCGACAGCCCTCCGCGGCCCGGCCCGGCCCCGCCTCGCACACGGACCTGGACCAGCGGCCGCCGCTCGGGGCTGCAGCCTCACGGGGGAGCGGCTTCCGGCGCCGCCTGCGTCATCTCCGCGCGTCCCTCCGCCCGCGCGCCCGGCGGACGCGGCCGCACTTCCGGCTCGGGGGCGGGGGGGGGAGGGGGCGGAGCATGCGCAGTGCGGCGGGGACCGGCGGCGGCGCGGGCCGCCCGCTCCGCCCGACCTGCCCGCGGAGGGGACGCGGGGACCTGGGTGTCCCCGCTGCGACCCGTCATCGCCCGGATGCCGTTCGGGGCCGCGGTCGCGGGGGGGGGGGGGGGGGCGGGCGCCGGGGCGTCGGTCCTCGCGGGGCAGCCGGGCGCGCACACGCCTCCGCGCGGGGGGGACGGGGGAGGGAGGGGGAGGGGGGCGGCGGGGGCGGCGGGGGGAGGGGGAGAGGGCGGCGGGGGGAGGGGGAGAGGGCGGCGGGGGGAGGGGGCGGCGGCCTCTCCCGCCCTCGGGCTGCTTCCCTCTGCGCGCCGGAGCCTCGGTACCTGCCCCGTGACCCTGCTGGGCCTGTGTGTGCGGGCACCGGCCTCGGCCCGCCCTCCCCTCCCGCCCTCCTTCCTTCCCTCCTTCCTTCCCTCCCTCCCTCCCTCCCCCCTCCTTCCCTCCCTCCCTCCCTCCCCCCTTCCCTCCCTCCCTCCCTCCCTCCTCCCCTCTCTGCCTTCCCTCCCTCCCTCCCTCCTTCTCTCCCCTCCCTCCCTCCCTCCCTCCCTTCCTCCCTTCCCTCTTCCTCCCTCCCTCCCTCCCTCCTTCTCCCCCTCCCTCCCTCCCTCTCTCCCCTCCCTCCCTCCCTCTCTCCCTTCCCTCCCTCCCTACCCTCCTTCCTCTCCCCTCCCTCCCTCCCTCTCTCCCCTTCCCTCCCTCCCTCCCCTCCTCCCCTCTCTGCCTTCCCTCCCTCCCTCCCTCCTCCCCTCTCTGCCTTCCCTCCCTCCCTCCCTCCCTCCCTCCTTCCTTCCCACACTGACAGAGGCAGAGGCCCAGGCAGAGGGAGAAGCAGGCTCCCTGCCGGGCTCCGTGGGCCTCAATCCCAAGCCCCAGGGTCAAGCCCTGAGCCCAAGGCAGCCGCTTCACCACTGAGCCCCAGAGGCCTCCTAATCACCTTCTCTGCATCACGGTGCGGAACCCCCGTAGCAGCCCTACGCAGTTGTTAGTGTGATCAGCTCCATTTATAGAGATGGGGACACTGAGGCCAAAAGAGGTTTAAGGGGACGTCTCGGGGGCTCAGCAGTGGAGCATCTGCCTTCAGCTCAGGGCGTGACCCCAGGGTCACAGGATCAAGTCCCACCTCGGGCTCCCTGCATGGACCCTGCTTCTCCCTCTGCCTGTGTCTCTGCCTCTGTCTCTGTCTCGCGAACAAATAAATAAAATCGTTAGAAATAAAAGGTCTAAGCATCTTGCCTAAAGTCCTAGTCACTGGCTGTCATAGCATTTCAACTGAGGCCCCTTCAGAGCATAAATCCTCTTTGTCTCTCTATGAAGGCTCAGGAACCCCCTACATACACGTATCTGCCACCAACCAGCACCGTCCAGTAGGACTTCGAGCAGTGACATTCTCTACTTTGTCTATGGGCGTTGCCTAAGAAGGCAGCCACCAGCCTTGGTGACTATCGAACACTTTGCAGATGCCTACTATGACCGAGGAAATACAATTTTCATGGGTTTAAATTTAAATAGCCACCTGTGGCTACTGGCTACCCTATTGAGCACACGGGTCCAAGAGATACAGCGCGTGACACAGACAATACGACCGTCACACGGGGCGCCCGGGTGGCTTAGCAGGTTAAGCGTCTGCCTCAGGCTCCGGTGGTGACCCCGGGGTCCTCCCTGCTCAGCGGAGAGCCTGCTGCTCCCCTTGCTTGTTGTGTCCCTGTCAGATAAATAAACCTACACGTATCTGTTCACGCACACAGCTGGCGGAAGGCAATGCCAGGCCTCCAGGCATCCTGAGTCCGTATCGAGGGTACTTGAAACATGGGAAATGACAATGTGACGGAGAAACCAAGCATGATGCCTTGAGAGTCGGGTCTCGAGAGCAAATCTGGTCTGGTAGGCAACAGGCAGCCTCTGCAGCCAGAGCAACTGACGACATTACAAAAAAGTTTAGGAAGACATGAGCGCGCAGACCGGGTAACCTCGGCGAAAGAGACGGCGGCGGTACCAAGGTAATTAAGAAAAGCAAGCGCCCTGTATGTCTCAACCCCAGTGTGGTGGGAGTTTGGTGACTTAAACTGAAAATCCCAGATGGAGCTGCCTGGAGACCTGTTTGTCCTTCTCATGGACAAAGAAACCAAACCGACTAAGTGGGAGCCAAGAGGAGATCTGGGAACAAACTTTATAGCTCTGAGAAATGGAAATTGCAAAATAGGATTTGTGTTTGATTAAAGACAAGACCTATTTAATCGTTAAACCAGGAACATTAAAATTTTTCCTTTCACTTGAATTTTTTTAGGTTCGATTTTCCCGCACTGTAAAGCTTTCCTAGGTTGCGTGACAGTGGTGGACAAAACAGCGCTAAACGCAATGGGATTTTCTTAGCCAAACAATGACCAAAAAATGCTGTGAGTGGCAGCAGGAAGATCAACAGGTAAAAAGACAAGGATGAAACACAGCCCAGCCTGAAAACGGAAAGCTCCGCACAAGTGCTTATGTGACAAGAACACGGAAATGTGTTGAATGCCGTTTCTTTTTTCTCAAACTTGCTGGTAGAAGCAGGGTTCGGAATAATTCCCCCACACTCGTGCCCTCGGAGAATGGCAAACATCAAATGCTTAGTTTCTTTAATTCTGGCTAAAATGGATGATGATGATGTGTTGTTTGCCATTTTGAGATTAAAATGCGTGGAGAGGTAGCTCGGGTGACATGTGGCTGACTTTGTAAGGTTCTGGCATAGCCCACGATAGGAATTAAAAGCCTTCCCAGTGAGACATAAGCCAAACGTCACCGTATGATGTTTCTCTGGGGAGAAAAAAAATGCACCCACTGGGGGGTGACACGTATTCCCTGACGTTTAGCACACGTCTTGCACGTGCATGTGCCCGGGAGCGGGAACGATTCCAGGTGTCCGGTTTCTTGAGCACACTCCAGACCGTGTAGCGTTTCCCCCTGTGCGCTGCGGGGAGCCGTGACGTCGGTGACCTGCCCGTCACACCCCCCCACGTACTTCACCAGGAGTTGAGCATAAAGGCAAGGGGTCCGTTTCAGGAGGTACCCAAGGTTGGAAGCGGTTCAGCAGGCTCGTGTTCTCGATCTTTGCTCCGGGGTCACTGTGGCTGTAACGGGATCGGCGCTCGGCCTGCTGTGCAGCCAGCAGGTATTCCCGGGCAAAAGCTCAGGTTGACGAGGAGGACACCGAACCCTTCACGTCTCAGGCACCAAGTACTTCGCTTCAGTTGCTGTCAGACTGGGATGACGCTGAGCGTCCTGCGGGCATCACCTGGCATCTGGACTCCAGGACTTCCAGAGCCCCGAAGTTGCTCACGGGCGACATGCAGGCAAGTCTCTTACGCCTTGGAAGCATCTGAGATCTAGGAAAATAGGCTTTGGGAGAGCTCAGGTCTCTGCCACGTGCCGGTCATCCGCCTTGAGACAACGGGAGTCCAGAGCATAATTGCAGGGGTCCGTTTTGATGTTCCGTTCCGGCTCGTGGACCTCGAGAAGGAAGAGAGGAGAGTCAGGATTCTCAGTGCTTAGGGGTGAGCTTTAGGAAGTTTGCAGACCTGAACCCAAATTACGGCCCTGCCCGCGTGTACCTGGCGACTGACTGGGCAGCTTAGGAATGCCCGGATGCTTGCCTTCGTATGGGAGCTGACCTGCGGAAGGGCTCGCAAGGGCGAGATGAACTAAGGCCGTCCGCTGCCTGGCGCGCTGCGGGTGCTCCGTGAGGGGTGACGGTTACTGGGGGGCTCTGCCGCCGGAGCACCGGGGCACCGTAGAAATCGGCCTCCCCCACGGGCCCCTCGCCCTGTCAGCCCCCAGGACGGTGCATGCCCCCCGGACGCCGGTCTGCGTCTTCCCTGACGGTGGGGACCCGCGGGCCGTCCTGCTCTCCGGGGCCACTCCCGGGCGGGGGGGGGGGCGCAGTGTGCGGGCCGCGGCTTCCCCGTGGTTCGGGCCCAGGCTGCAGCCCCCGCCTCCCCGGCGGCTTCGTGCTCTTGAAGCTCAGCCTACTTCGCGCCTTGCTTCCGCCGACTCTGGAGCAAGACGTTCCGCGCACCCTGCCTTATGCAGACAGGGACGCCCTGGAAATAAAGGACAAGGACGGAAGTGGCACGGGGACCCCTCATCCTTCGAGCGTTACATCCGGGGCCAGTCGCGGGCACGGAAAGGGAGAATGTGTCCTAGTGTCTGTGACCTCAGGCCCCGGCCTGGGCCAAGGCAGGCCCTCAGGAGGCCTGGGCCACGCGACCGCGGCCAAGGGCAGCACGTGCTCCCACTCTCCGCTCCGGGAGCACCGCCCGGTGACCACCCCGAGAGGGACAGAGCCCCGGGAGAACAGGGACGTGCTGGAGGGACCTCCCTGGACGGGGTGGGACCCAGACCCGAAGACCAGGGCGCGGTGCCGGGGGCCGTGACCTTGTGCCCCAGCGCCCCGGGCATCCTCGGGCCGACCAGGCGACGTTGTCAGCCGCCACGCGCGGTGGACTGTCTGCTCAGTCTGAAGGAGCACCGAGGCCGGCCGTGGGGGAAGGGTCGGCCACCGGGGTGCGCCCAACGGAGACCCTAATAGCCGGGCACTTGGCCCTCTTAGCAAATACCCCGAAAAGTACCACCCGATCCCTGCGGCGGCCGGGCCTTCGCCGTGTCCCAGGACGTGGCGCGGAAGAAGTGGCCGTCGGGCTCCTGCCGACGCGCTTGTGGGGATTTGTGCCAGGTCCGCGGGCCTCGCTCCCATCCACACTTCAAGGCTTTCCGGGAAAAGGCACATCCGATGGAGCAGGAGTTGCTGTAAGCTCATGTTCACGTCCTGCGAGACTAGGGTGCCGCGCCGCCCCGCGTGGAAGGGGCCGCGCCTGGCCTGAAGCCTGCTGCGGGCTGATTCCCTGCCGGCTGCTGACACACCCGGGGCCC